AGCTGCACAGCCCAAACAGCAAAGTGCCCTGGATTCGGTTTTCAGCGAGGATATATCTACAGATGAAGCGGGCTTTTTTAGCTCTCACATGTCGCAGGCAGCAGAGCAATCGGAGGCACCACCCACACTACACCGAAAGCAGACTTCACAAGTGCTAGACTCACTACGAATGGATGATGCTTTTCGGGGAGATGAGTCTCCTGTCGAACCTCCTCGCATCCCTTGTGAACAGATGTCTACATCAGAAGCGGTCGATGGGCACCAGACTTCTAAGGATGATGAAACAACCCCAGAGAATTTAGATGAGAATGAACTTGCGGAACGATGGAAAGCAGCCCTTGATGATGATTTACTTGATGATGAGCTTCTTGACGATGACCTGCTCGATAATGATAACGCAGCTCAGCAGGAAGATGAAAAGCCACCAGCTCCACCCCCGTCACAGCGCTATGCACCCAACACTTCGGCGTATTTACCTCAATCTCGTCCCGCACCCCCTCCAATTAATCCGTACGCCCCTCATCAGCCATCATCTTCTTCGATGATGGAGGGTATAGCCCCCGCCCTTTATGGAGAACATGCGCAGCCCATCAGCCCGGTCTCCGCGTCTGCGGAAAGCTTTTCGAACCAGCCAAAGGCTGGATACAAATCCCCATATGATCTACCTGATGATTTGCAACCAAAGCGCCGAATCGCTCCACGGTCTGCTTCTAATATCAGCCAGCCGTATCAACCAACTCCCGATTCCAGGCCTTCTAGCTCCTATAGCGCTGCGCCACTGCAAACTGCCTCTCCAGTAGCGCCAACCAACCCTTATGCTCCTCAGCCTCAACCTCAGTCTCAGAAACCAGCGGGTCCTGGCAATTTTTTTGAAGAACTTCCAATAGCTCCACGGTCAAGGCCATCAACAAGAGGAAGATATGCTCCTCCTCCTGCAGAAGCAGGCCGACAGGCCCCCGCAGGTTCGCAAATGATGACTCCCACACCTCAGCAGCATAATGAGCCCCAGCCTCAAGGGCAGTATGGATTACAGGCACCTCCAAGAATGGACCCTTACGCAAACGTCATAGCTCCTGTTGGGCCTGTTGCAACCAAGCCAGCAACACAATACTCTTCCAGGCCAACTGGGAAGCCCGCGGCATCTGGACGTTACTCTCCCGCACCCCCGCTTTCTAGCAGCGCACCTAGTCACTCATACATGCCAAATCATGCGGGAATTACGCTTCCATTTCAGCCAAGAACCTCAAGCCCCCTTGCACAGCACGATTCTAGTCATGTTAGGCCCCAGGTTCATCCTGAAACTCCTCGTGAGGGTTCTTTTGGCAGCCAGGAGTCAGCTCAGCATCTCTCTCCTCCAGCTGCCCATAATGACTTTGGGCAAAGGAACTATGCTCCAATGGCAAACGCTATCTCATCCCCGCCTTCTAGCATGCCACCGCCCTCTGCTCCTGTACGAATGTCTCCGCCCCGCAGGTCGCAAACCCAGTCTCCTGGGAAGCGGATTTATAGCCAAGGACACCCATCTATAATACAGGATAATGCGCAAAGGCCCGCATCTGCTCACGCACCCAGTGGACCTCCTCCAGCTTCCCATTTTCCGCTGGCTCGTGCTATGACGGTCGATCCACACCCAGCACCCGCTATTGATTTCATTGCTCCAGCAGATAGCCATAGCCTCGATCCTTTAGAGCGTTGGAAGGGCGCTCCTATTATTAAGTTCGGTTTCGGCGGATCCTTAATAACCTCATTTCCAAAGCGTGTTCCTCTGTACTCAACTGGGCAATTGGCTCCTCGTATGAAGCCGGTCCCAGGTGAAGTTAAACTACGTTCCTTCAATGATGCTATTCCAGAGTCTGTTATGCCAGCCAAATTCCCCGGGCCTCTGAAGTCTAAATCCAAAAAGAAAGAGGTCATTACTTGGCTATCAAACATGATTTCGAGTTTCGAACACGAGGACCCCCAAGGTCTCGTGAGTCTCACTCAGGGAGAATATCAAGCCAAGGTAGAGAAAATCATGCTCTGGAAGGTTCTCAGAACGCTTGTTGAGCATGATGGTATCCTTCGAGGTGCTCCTGATGCAGAAAAGAGTCTTCGTAGCATTCTGTCGCCCATTACCCCACAAAATGATCAGGGAGCGCCAACCATGGGTTCAACGAACACACTTTATGGCAAAGAGGAGCCTGCTAATGTTAGCCTAGACGCAATTCAACATAACTTGCTTCTTGGTGAACGTGAAAAGGCCATATGGGATGCCGTTGACCACCGGCTGTGGGGCCATGCCATGCTACTCTCCTCAACATTAAATCCATCCATTTGGAAGCAGGTTGTTCAGGAGTTCATCCGTCGTGAAGTACGATCTGTAGGCGAAAACACCCAATCGCTTGCTGCTCTTTACGAGGTACTGGCTGGCAACTTCGAGGAGAGTGCAGATGAGCTAGTTCCTCTATCTGCACGGGCTGGTTTGCAAATGGTTAATACCCGTACCGGTCAAGGTCCAACCGGGAACGCACTTGATGGACTCAACAAATGGCAAGAGACCTTGAGTTTGATTTTGAGCAATTCTAGCGCCCAAGATGACCAGGCTATATTAGCACTGGGTAGGTTGCTTTCGTCGTACGGAAGAGTGGAAGCGGCCCATATTTGCTTCCTGATTGCCAGATCTAGCACCAACCCTATATTTGGAAGCCTTCAGGACCCGAATGCTTATATCGTCCTTATTGGAGCCGACCACAAGCGATATCCATTCACCTTTATGGCTGATTCTACTGCGTGTTTGCTCACCGAGGTATACGAATTCGCTACTTCTGTCCTCACAGCTACGCCATTACACGTTCTACCTCACTTACAGGCTTTCAAGCTTCAACATGCAATGACTCTTGCTGAGACAGGTCACCGTTCAGAAGCCCAGCAGTATTGCGAAGCAATTGGCGCCCTGCTGAAGACAGCAACCAAACTCTCGCCGCACTATAACCAGCGATTCTTCATTGAGCTGGAGGAGCTTTCAAACCGCCTACGCCAATCACCCGGTGATTCAACGTCGTCTTGGATGTCGAAACCCAGCATGGAGAAGGTATCTGGCTCAATGTGGGCTAAATTCAATAGCTTTGTCGCTGGTGACGACTCTAGCCCCGACTCTTCTGATCCATCTAAGCCTCATGAAGACCAAGGTCCATTCGCAAATATTGTTGGCACTCCGCCAGTCACCCATTCACCTGGAGGACCTGAATCTTTCGGTTCATATTTCCCTACACACCAACAACAGCCAGTCGCTATCCCTGCTTCGAACTCTCGATATGCACCTAATAACCAATATGCCCCTTTTTCATCCCCGGATCAGCTTCGCGGCCGCCGCTCTCTAGACTCGCAGCGTTCCCCCTCACGGGGTGCTGCTGCTCGGTCATACTCACAGAGGCGACATTCCCAAGATCCTTCCACTGGCTATGAGAATAGCTACGCTCCACTCGCAGCCGGCAATCCTTACTCTCCATCGCCAGTGGCCCCCCAACCTACTACGCACTCTACGCCATTACCTGCTCACTCACCACTAGCTCCTGTTGAGGAAGCGAGCTCGTCGTTGGCTCCGAGCACTACCTCAGAGCAAGCTCCTGGAATGGGGGTGTCGGCTCCCAGGCCAAGCTCGTTTCAGCCCGCCTACCAATCAGTCAATGCCACTTATTCTCCTCCCACGCAAGAATCTCAAGGAGGATACGAACCTCCATCAGAGGGCGGATACCAACCTCCATCTTATGAGCCGCCTTCTTATGAGCCCCCTATGAATGAACCTGAGTCGCCTGAGAGTGAAGAAGCTGAAGAAAAGAAGCCCAAACCAAGGAAGAGCTTTATGGATGACGATGATGATGACAGTTATACTGGCAAAGGAGCAGCCGCAGCCGCACCCACAAATGGAGTAGAAACAGACAGAGGACGTAGGGAACGAGAAGCAGCTGAACTTGTTAGGAAGGCTGCCGAAGAAGATGGTAAGTTTTACACCTGATTTTCAATATACAGAACAGCTAATTTGTGTTCTAGCCAAACGTCCACCTCCAGATGCAAAGAAGGGGTGGTTTACTGGCTGGTTCGGGAAGCGAGACCCAAGCGCTTCTGGCGGTCCTATCCGAGCCAAGTTGGGAGAACAAAGCTCGTTCTACTTCGATGAAGACCTGAAGCGTTGGGTTAACAAGAAGGATCCCAACAGTGCCACGTCCTCCACCTCTGCCTTACCACCTCCGCCAAAGGGCTCAGCAGCCGGCAGCCGGTCTGCCAGCGCTGAACAGCGCCCACCTACTTCGGCGTCTGTCGCAAGTGCACCTGATGCAGTCCCCATCCCACTAGCCAGACAATTGTCGGCTCAGGGTGGCCCAAATTCGCCATATGGCTCTGCTCCTCCCCCGTCTTCGCTGGGAGTTCCCGGTGGTACTCCACCTTTGACTCCATCTTCAAGACCTGGAACTGCCCTGAGCCATGCAAGTTCCATTGATGATTTACTTTCAGCCCCGACTTCCAAGAAGGGAGGTACCCTGAAAGGACGTAAGAAGGGTCGATATGTCGATGTTATGGCAAAATCCTGAGGTAATCTTTCAACTCTGCCTGAACAGTGACGTTTCACCACACAAGCCTTTGTCAGGCTGCTATACATACTCTCCACCACACGTTTGTTTTCTCTTTCCCCTGACACTTGTCAGCCTCCGTTTATATCCCTCTCGACCTGGAGTCAGTTTTGCTTGTTATTGCTTTTATTTGCTTATTCATTCCTTTTCTCGATGCTGTCTATCGATACCTTCGCAGGCGGCTTTCCCACTTCCTCCAAATACCCCTTTTAATACTACATTTCCCGTGAGCAACTATAAAATCTTGACTGTGCTTACTTTGTGTTGACTTCGTTTGCATGTATAATTTTCTGGCTTTCCCTTGGTTAACTGTACTTTATAGCATTATTATTCTTAATATATCATCAATTTCGTCAGCCAACCTCCTGGCAGCGCCTGAATGTCAGTTCCTACCTAGCTAGCATACGAGTTGATGTAATATGTTAGGCAGGAGTCCTCTCCACCTATTCCTCCGGGGAGGTAAACATAGAGGACCAGGGCCGTCTCATGAATGAAACCTACAGGGTCAGCAGAGGAAGAGGGAACAACAAGTATAAAGGAAGAATAAAAATACTTACAGGCAACGACTTTGGGGCTTAATCTACCAACACTCAGTACCCGGCCCCAGTCTTTACCGTCAATCCTTACTTTTGCCCATCCTTCCTCGCCATCTGCTGCTCGGGCTCTCATCCGCTCACTTGGCAGCTGAGCGATCTCGCTCTGGGTCATATCTGCCTGGTCTAGGGGAGGATTCACTAGTCCTGCCCATACACTTGAGATGCGAAGAGCATCAGTAGCAATGGCCAATTTCAATGACCCGTGCATGTTGGCGCTAAGTTCCAACTTAGGGCCGCTGCTATGACTCCCGCCCGCTAGAGCAGGTCCATTGCCGTTGCCACCAGCACTGACATTCCCTGCTTTACTGGATGCAGCATCAGTGGCAAGCTTTGTGAAACGTTCGGATATGCTTTTGAGCTGGATGAGACTGGGAAGAATGATATGTACATCCGGGTCACGGCAACGTGGTTCGTGCACTCCCTCGACTGCGGAGGGATGAAGAACGCGGATGGGTATTTCCTGTGTCACAATCGTTTCACGTTCCCGGGGTCCGTCTTGCAGAAGCTCTGCGGCTGGTATCCCGCTCAAGGCGCCGCCGTTTTCAAGAGACTGAGGATTTGCCGGGCGGGAGCCGCTAGCCCTTGCGGGCTCGTCTGAGTTAGACGCACCTTTTCCCGACGTCCATGACGAGGTAACCACTGTCAGGGCGAGTTGAGGCTGGTTCCCCTTTTTGGTCAATCGTAGTTGCGCAGAGGTAGCGCCGGTGGCTGACTTTAGCGCGCGATGCAGGGCACCGATTGGCACCTCCAAGTTTATGACCTTTGCAACTGAAGAAAAAGAATATGAGTCGAAAACAGTGTGCTACTCGTCTCTTAGCCCATGGTCATCTCCAATTAAAATCAACTTGTCGCCATGGCCCTCTTCCATGGTCCAAGTCCAGATAAATATACATACAATTGGGAGCTGGGCCCAGACCTGCGTCCCCTGATCTGGGATTATGGAGAATCGGACGACCTCATCCTCGAGCCTCACCCAGCAGACCTTGCCAAGTGACGAGAGGGAGGCCGTAAATTCTAGCAGCAAGGATTAGTCAAATAGTCCCCAGAGCTGACGCGTTGAAAAACAGATAACTTATGGGTCAGATTTTGCTGCTACTGACTGGAGAACGTCGCTACGTTCGTGAGCTGGCTTTTGAAACGCATCCTGTACGCTTCATCGTCCGGTGCGAGCAGCAGCCAGAGACATGAAGAAGCCCTTGAGCTCTCTCTCTTCTCTTTTCTCTTTTGTCCCTTTCTTCCTTGTAAACCGCGTGTGGTCTCTGATCTGATTCCTCCCTCCCTGTGCAGTTTCGCAGCTTGCCGCCGGTGTGAAACAAGGAGTGTCCAACTGGCCCAGCTAGTTCCAGGACAAAGCTGGTTGCAAAAAAAAAAAAAAAAAAAAACGAGCAGGCCAGACGCTTGTCTCAGGTAGCTGCTATTTTCAGGGAAGCCGACGACGAAGCCGTAGATCAGGTCGTAAGGCGTATAAAAGTCGTCTAGCCAGCTCGTAGTGCGCTGGTTGAAGCTGTGGCTTGAGGTTGTCTTTTTCCTTTTTCGGGTTGCAGCCACAAGAAGCAAATAACTAATAACTAATAAAAAAAAAGATCCATCGCGACCTCAGCTTTTCCTCTCTCTCCACGACCTCCAAAACAACCAAAGAAGAGGCAGCAGCAGAAGAAGCAAAAACAGAGCAGCCTGCGAATGACCATCTTTATGGCTTACGGTGCTGGGTTTTCTACTTGACAGCGCATTCGTTTTCTGCAGGCTTTCTTCCAGAGAACCAGCGAGAAAGGTGGACGCGGAGGAGAGGCAATGCTTGACGGACCTCCGGCATCTCCAACTGCGATGGCAGATATCCAGCACCTGTTTCCTCTCGCCGTCTGAATCTCGCTCTGGAACGGAAGATTTCGCTTGGTATGCCTGTATACTGTCGCTCTTTGCTCGTTGCCGGCGCGGATTTCTTGTTCTCCTAAGCCATGCCGACCTCCCCAGACGCCGTTTAAAGCAGACAGAGATATAGTGCCGAGCAAGCTGAGAGCCCACAACTTCACCAAACGCCATAGAATCCGGGGCCTGGCGATGCTCCTGGACGAACACTAGTTATGGCGAAATCCCCGTTCGACTCTCTAGACCCGGCTGTCCGCCTCCCTCCGCGCCATTCGCGATCTCCACGCTCGCCCTCACGCTCCCCGGAACGGAGAGCGCAGTTCCTCTCTCACCAGCTCGATCCTCTACTCTCAGACCTTTCTCCAGAGACGACGCTGCAAGTCCTCTCTGCTACCGACGCTATCCCGATACATAAAAACACTCCGCATAGCCTTCTGGCCAAGAGCATATCTGATGTCTCAACCGTGGATCGTGCATTCGGCATAAGAGCCGCAGTAGCCGCGCAGAAACTCAATGAATGGCATACTGAGGTCCTCTCCTGGCTTTGGCCGGATCCCGCTCGTGATCCGAATGCAAGAAATGGGTTTCTTCCCCCGAAAGAGCTTGAGAAGAGCTCCGATAGGAGTTATGATGAGGCTCAGACCGGAAATTCTGCCATACCAGAGACTGAGCGGGAAATATACTTTGGAAGCTTGCCTGCAAGCATCTTGAAACTATATCAAACCCGAATCAAGGAAATAAAGGACGGCATGGAAGCTCTGGATGTGGAAGAGTTGAAGGAGCATGTTTTAACAGCTCATATTCCTTCACGATCCCGTCCGCCTTCTGCTGCTAGCACCATGTCCACAAGCTCCGGTCTAGCTAGCTATTTGAAGATGAGTGATTTCACCGCAGTCATAACAGCTACTATTCTACGGGCCCTACCCGTGCTATCAAGATTGAACAATCTGCTTAGCAACTGGCACGCTCGACTCCTTGTTCTTAATCATGTTCCAGGGCTGGTCTTGGACCTTCAGGAGACTAAACGGGCTATTGCCAATGCACTTAACCGCCTGCAAAATGGCCTACTCCCTAAGCTTGATGATCCCCTATTTTCCAGAGAATGTTTCAGGTCCAGCTGGAGAGAGCTGCAGGCCATGGTCTCATCTCTCGGTCGCCGGATTGATAGGATGCTTGATATCCTCGAAGGGAGAGAAGATTCGCTACCCGAAACTTGGATCGATGACATGGAGGCCATTGAGTCAAGAATTGCCAGCTGGGCATTTGAGGCTGAACGAAGAGCAGTGCAAAATGAGTTGAAATGTCTATATCAGCGCGAACTTGACGAGTATTTGGCGCAAAAGTCTTCAGAGGAATCAGTGCCAGATGTCTCACACCCTTCACAAAAGAGCTCCGATGATGTAGCTGAACCATTAGTCCAACACAGTGAGGCAGTGGTCAAACATCACACTGCCAGCCCTAGCACAGGGCCTGATTCTCACTTTACTCCTTTGACGCCACAGCCCTTGCTACCTGCTATCAGGGAAAATCACACTGGTGAATCACGGGCAATTACATCTTCCGTTGCCGACTCGTCCGATGGATATACCCCCGAAAATTCTCCTTGTAAATCTCAAGATCCTGTGAAAAAACTAGGGATTACTTCCTGTTCTACTCCGAATAATGGTCGGGCTACTGCTGTTACCAAAAATATTCAAGATTATGACACCCCGAACTTTGAGTCTCCACGCGTTCCCAATTCAGCAATATACGATGGTACTCAGGGTGAAGATTTCACGACTAGGCCGGTCTCCCGCCTTGATTTCAACGCCATTGACAGCCCAGGTTCGGACAACTACAGTGACATGTCGCCTGATAACTCACCAGCTCCCCTGACGCCCTTGGCCAACATGCGTAAAAGGTCCAGTAAGCGCGAGAGCAACGTCCCGTCTAGGTTACAACTAATTCCGTCTGGCTCGGATGCAACCATCAAGCAGAACGATATGGCTGGTCCTGTCGACTCCCCTGCTGCTTCAAGCTTCATCCCTGACAGAGAAGACTTAGAATTTAACGTTGCCCAACCCCTGAGTTCTCCAGCGACTCCAGCACAGTTCTCATCATCGCCTGGCCTAAGCTCCAGCGGTTCGGTAATACACCATACTCCAGAAGTAACGAAAAACTCCACATCTCGTCCCACAAATAGCGCATCCCCTTCTCCGGACCTTCAGACCCCACCATCCCTTCGATCATTTGGCAGAACTATGAGTTTACCCCTAGCACGTTATATCAATGACGAGGCTGCCTCCTTGTATGGACAGCATGGAGCCTACCACCCGAATGGCAAATCACAAATAAGCACAGCATCGATCGGATCGGTTGATATATCACCAAGAGGACAGGTACGTCAAGCAGCTTGCATTCAATGTAACTGCGTTTACTAATCGTTTTCCAGGTTGGGGATTCAACTTTTGATCGAAGAAATAGCTTAACCCCAGGCACTTCCACAAAATCCGAATTGCGGAGATCTATTTCATCCGCGAGCATATCCTCCTCCCCTCGTTTACAAGAAAAATTAAATCTTGGCCGTCTATCAAATTTTACGCGGTTATCACATTTGCGCCGCAGTGCAAGCTCTGAACCATTATATCTTGAGAAGTCGTCACTCTCTACAGGCTCTGCTGATACAAATTTTTCATCCACCCCCCTAAAACCCCTCGACCTTCCCTCTAGGTTGAGCCCATTCCTTCATTCCTCATCTCCAGAAGCAGATAACACATTCCCGGATGCCGATTCTTTAGAGTTGATACCCCCTCCTCTCAAAACAAGATCCCACTCAGGGACCAGAACCCCCGTTAAAGTACCACATGATGAATTCGATGACAGGATACATTCCATACTGGATACTATTCCTAAAATCCGTATGAAATCTACCGTAAGCGAGGATTCCAATGAAACACCTGCGCCGGACAATTTACGAGTGCCGCCAAACTCAGGCCGCGTCCATCCTCCTTCTCCAACGCTGTCTCGCTCTAGTACACCTACTCCTTCACTTACCCTTACGCCAGCACCTCGCCCTAGGCGTCGCAATAACCCTGGACCGGATGAAGTGCGGTTATATCACCTTCATAGAGGTGGTAAAGCAGCCCCAGTCAAACTATTTGTACGATTAGTGGGCGAAACTGGAGAGAGAGTAATGGTACGCGTTGGCGGTGGTTGGGCGGACCTCGGTGAATATCTTCGCGAGTATGCCATGCATCACGGAAGAAGAGGCATAATCGACGGTAGATTTGAAGTACAAGGAATTCCCGTTGTCAGCAAATATCCCCGGGCGCCAACCCCTACTACAAATGGTCGAACCACACCCATACCTCCCTCGCGACCTGGCTCTGCTATGGATATTCGCCCGGGGTCCTCTCTAGCAGTCCGGAGAGCAAGACGTGCAACCGGCTCAGGTGCAGATCTGCTACCAAACCTCACCGCTGCCAATATTCAAAGACTATCTGAGGAAGGTGTTAGTCCTGGCAACTCTTCTGTTTTATCCTCACAACGACGCCCATCACTATCCTCCGCAACTTCTGTGAGCACCTCGGCTGTAGGGGATCACTCATTTAACACCACTCCATCCCACCGCTCCTTTTCCACAATCACTGGCGCCGCTCATTCAACACCACTTGGTTTAGCTGGTCCCAAACCTCGATCAAAACAACATACCATTAGTCCGGAGAGCGAAGCCTGGGTTGAAGATGTCATGGGTCAGGCACGAAGGAGCTCATCTACTCTTAGAGCCCAGCGATCCATGACTGCCATGCGTAGCAGCTCTGGAGTCCTTCGACGCATGCCCAGTGCAACTCTTAATGAACAGAGCCCGACAAACAGCATTGCAATGAACAAAGTTCGGGGCGAGAATAAACTCCGGAGCGCAAGTGATATGGGAGGCGTGTCACTTAACAAACGAGTCTTTTTACGCCGACTAGGGAAAGAAAAGGAGTAGTGCAACTTGATAGTTGACCTCTTCGTTTTTACTTCACCATTCACTCTTTCACCACTATCTTCTTTCTATTCGGAATCTTATTTTTATTTCATCTTCTTGGGTCGCATGTTGTGGGTAAGTGAGTGAGTGATTTGATTTTTGGACCGGCGTTATTCAAAGATATCCATTTCGATCTCCTATTTTTCATCTTTATTTCCTCCATCTAACGCCATGACTACTCTCTTTTAATCTCCAGTACCACGTTCTTTTACCTCAGCCTTTCTTTTCCTTTTTATCTTTTCTTTACTATGCTCCTATTCCATCTTCCTTTATTTTTTTCCCCTTCTCATTTTTTCTTGGTTACCCCCGGTCATACGCTATTTCAGCTTTTAGCGAATCATTTCTGTAAGATTGATTCAATGTCTCTCGCATTGCAATACTCTTCTGAACATATACCCCTATTATCTCAAGTCGACTAGTCCTTTCTGATAGGAATCATGATCGATTATTATATTTCATTAGACTCGTACAGTGCCTATTATTAACGTAGTATGAATATGTGCATATTCTGTGTCCGCGACTCCGAGATATTAATTACTCAGTAACCCAAGAACCCGAACGCCTATGGGGAGGTAATAACGGGACAGCAAAACGTATGCGATGCAATAAATGTTGTCATCGCACCTGAAACTCCCAGATACCCGCAATATACTAGTCTTAAGTGCAATATATTGATAAAATGATACAGGAAGGAAACTCGTAAGAAAAGGTCCAGATGTGCGAATGGTAGAGTAGAAGTAGCTTCATGCACGCACTGGAAATAATCATTTCGCCCCAAGAAGAGTATGTTGCCGGACCTCTTTAGCATCCATGACTTCCACCTCCCGGCTAAGCAGCTTGCGAAGGTCAGGGGTAATTATCTGGACAGAAGTGGCCTCAGAGTCAGGCTTCGTATTGGGCGTGCTGGAGGGTTTTGCTCCTGTACCGCCTGATGGGCTAGCTCCAGTAGCTGTGGCAGAACTATCTCTAGCGGGTGATGTAGTGGTATTGGCCTGAGGTGTTGGACGTGTTGTCCGCTGACGAACAGGTGCCTGTGGAAAGTTGTACTTCTTGTCAATAGCTTCAACTTTCTTCTCAAACCGATGAAATAAGGCCTCCGCTCTACTCAATGTTGGTATCAAGTCGATTGTATTTGATAGTTCATTAACTATTGATAGTTTAGTCCAACTCTGATAACATTAACAGGGAAACGACATACCGTATTTTAAGACCTCATCGAAGTGGTGAAGGTGTGCCATAATAACGTCACGGTGCTTCTCTAGTATAGCCAAAGCGACGAAGATATGGAAATTACTAGACAGATGGTCTGTCCATAGTGCTTCCCAGAGCCTGAGACAATCAACCCATTCGAATTCTCTTTTAAACCAAACTAGGAGCATGCGGAAGAAAAAGAAGAAGTTGGTGCTCTCAGCTTTCTGAAGATGTAGGTAAAGCTTGGGGTCCATGAGTTGAAGGAGTTGGTCAAGGGTCAATAACTGTTGGCGCATCCCAGATTGATCTCGAAGGAAGTTTCGTTCCTGATATATGTATTAGTAGACGATACGATAAGTGTATGGAATATTCAGGCTGACGCTTACCATCCGGTTCATGAACCCAACGAAACCCCAAAATGCAATCGCATCGTCTTGCATCACGGCATAGATGGGGCTAAGAAGATCACTCATACCTTGTACATACCCAAGTTCTGTGTTGTACTCATTGTAAGTGAGCAACATATCTTTCATCTGTTCAAGGTGGACATTTGTCCCAGTTTCAGCAAACGGCGAATCTGGATCTGGATGAGGTGTGTCCTCCCCGGCAAAAAGGGGGATATGACGATCTGTCCGGTGAACATCTTTTTCTGAATTGAGAACACCAAGGGATGGTTTGTAGTTAGCCATCTGAAGACTTGACGTATGGCTTGGCTTTAGAGAACCATAAAGTCAAGGGGGGTATCTAACCTATTCTATTCTTTTGCTCCCTAAACCATTCCTGCTCTTTAGGTGTGGAAGCCCCATCAATCATACGCTCCCACCAAGCACCTTTCAAGCGGATATACTCATCTCGTCGTGAATTCATGATGGCTTTTCGTTCATCTTCGCTACTATCCCAGTCATAAAACCCTAGAAGGAATAGCCATGCTTCTTTTCGAACGCCATCGTTTGGTTCAAGGCCGCCGTGGAAGATACGCTCCTTTGCTTCTTCAACGGTGATTTGGAGTTTTCCAGTGGTTTTATGGAACCATCCATTCCACTCTTCCAAAGTAACTATTTTTCGCTTATCACTGATACTCATCTGGGCAGCTTCCATATCCAGAATTTCGAACTCTCCAACGGAGCTATTCTCCATGGCCAGGACATCGTTTGCTGTCCATATTCGTTGGTTGCGCTCACGTTCGCTCTGTTCTGCAATACCCATCGCCCAACGAGCAAGATATAGTCTGGCACTGTCAAACTCGTCCTGTAAAGTTTGAACTTCTGGGTTTCTCATGAGTCGCCTTACTTGAGGAGGTAGTCGGGGGTTATCCGCAATATCTTGAGCAGTTCTGCGAGTGAAAGTTGTGATTTTGCTAAATTGCTCAAGGACCATCCACCTTGTTTCCTTAAGAGCTTTTGTGAATGGGTCCATTGTTGCATCTTTAGGAGGTTTGCTGGAACCGGGTTGGCCGCTAGAATTTTCCAACTTGCCCTTAGCTTGTCCAAAAGCTGTTTTGTCTTCCTCAGTTGGGTTGATAAGGTAGGCACTCGGATCCTCCCCTGAGCGGTGAACGTCCACGTATCTCCGTAACCATCGGAGTACTTCGTCGCCACCCCAGAACATGCTTCCATCATCGGCGAAGGGGTCAAAATTTTCCTTTGTCCGTTTCTTTTTTTGCAGTATGGTAGATTCGCATTCACTATCATGGAAGAATAGTGCAGGAAAACTATCTCCTGCCTTTGTGTTGATAACCACGCTACCAAACCACCACCCTAGACTGGGTGGTCGGACCAAAAGTGAGTATATACGTGACAATGGGATAGCAAATGCATAAGATCCGATAGGACCAGCACTACTAAGAGTTGTAGGTAGTGGAGGGACCAAGTAGGATGTCCGTGGGGGAGAGTTATCGTCTGATAGGTCTACTTTAACGTAGACATCGCGCTCATCCCCGAGAGATGCCTCAGGCACCCAAGAGAGTAAAAGCGATGACGGATCAACGGTTTTATCCAAGGAAGGAGAAGAGGACGAAGTACTCTCACGCTGAGCAGAGGGAGCAGGCTTTTGCTGAACCAGGGCAATAAAACCGGGTATATTATCCTTTGAAGATGCCGTTGGATGAACGTAGACCTGTGACAATTGATCAGCGTAAGTAGCCCCTCTAGTTGAATTTCTCGTGCCTAAGAGAAACGCGCCATACCTTACTCTTGGAATAGAGCAGCCTCACGCCTTTTCCAGTGCTAGTATGGGTAACAGTATTATAATCCCCTTCTTCGTCGTCGCTCACATCGTAGAATGAGGCCGATGGAGACGGCGGCGACGCTGGTGGGGTGGTATTCGCAGCCATCGTTGCGTTGCTGCAAGGGCTAACCGGATGAGCTGGAACCACCTAACGAGCAATCATTCTTGAGCTCTAGAGGCGAAGAACTGATATTTATCCTGTCGTCCGCAGCAAACAGGCAGAAACGATAACCAAACCTGTCGTCTCTGCAGCGGCTGAAGAGCGTCTTCGATGACGAACTATGTTAAGTGACGAAAGAAGAAAACATGTGACGTTCGTTCTTGATTACTTAAGCTAGCTATGGTCAAAGCTTAGCTTTAAGTAGGTCACGTGTAAAGCTTACTCGAGAACTTACTAACCAGCTAGCTGTTTGCACTGTTTGCACTGTTTGCATATAAAACAGGTCTCGCTTTCCATGCAAGCACTCACTGGAAGATATACAGCCTAGAGCAAGATACACAGCTTTCTGCGTTTATACATATTCTTCCCTGTCCTATACTACTTCCTTTGGTATATGTTCTTGGTTAGTTGCTGGCGCATCGATGAAGAGACCTACCTCGACCGCCCATATTTGGTCTCTTTTAATGATACCCCGGAGTTCGTATATTCATGATAAAGTATCCTTTGGGATGTTCCTTCGTTATACTACATTTGAAAACGGGAATATGAGGTTGAAGCAACGAAGATTATCTGTTTGAACAGCTCTGCAAAAATCCGCGTGGCTGAGGGTCATGATCCTTCGAGTAGGAGTCTCTGCCGTACCCCGCCGGGGAACTCTCCGTATACGGTCGATCTAATTGAAATGCGTTGCCTCCCAGGATTCCGGTGTGCAGACGATAAAAATGACATGATGAAGAGATACCTTTATTATTGGCATTTGATTGATTCCGGCCAACAAGAATCTGACTTTGGTACTGCTGTTGTTGTCTGTTGATCATTGGTGCCAATATCAATGGGTATCAACGCGACTAACTGTTATGGTCCGTTTGGTCAGAGAAAGGAATAGTCGGAATGGCTTTTTCTGCCCTTTCTCTTTTGTTGACAAGGCAATCGACCTAGCTTTGACTTCTTATAGAGTATACCAACCATTCTTCGACTGTTGAAAGGTATCCCTACATCGCAGTATCCATCATCAACTATGCTAGATTGAGCAAATACGCAGTTGTATTACGCCGCTAGAACCTCCGCGACAGTTGCGTTGCCATGGTCAAGATGTCTTCATGCGCCTAGAAATATCTATCCATGGCGGCAAGGGTATCTTGGGGGCTTGGCCCCCTTACTGAAGTACCAGCCTTAAGAGGTAGATGTCTCTGGATCATCTTATCCAACTAGTAAAAGTATCAACAACTATTAGGTAGAAGTTGGGTTGGGTTTTGAGGCGCAGCGTAATAGTTACATGACCAATGAGGGTTGATGGAACTATTAAAACAATTCGGTGCATTAACTAGTTAATTGTTATTGGTTCTTGATTTCCTCTTTTGCCGGAGAGACCGAAGAGATTCCTGGAACCGTTGTTGATCTATTCTCAGTGGCCAGAGATGTCGATTCTTCTGACATCGCCAGCGGCTACTCCGTACACAGTAGGTGTTAGCAATATGCTCTCTACCTAAGGTGACCCCTCCCACGGTGGCGGGCGGGATCGACATAAGAGATTATCCGGCCGCTTGGTCCCTCTGGTCAAGGCGTTTGCCGTTAATTATCACATCTGGTGAATTGAGGGTTTCAAGACCGGACCAGTCGCCTCTTGTCGACATTAAGGCGGCCACTCCAGCGTGCATGGGGTACTCCGCATGGGAACACTACAGTGGACAGTTACATCATTACTCCGTACACATCTCTGTGAATATATAATCAGTCACCGTGATGTATTCCACAGGCCCACTGACGTAACCACTGCAGCAGAGAGGAAAAGACATGTCACCTCGTCTTGAGTCTTCACGGCAACTCTGCGTTGACACACTGTGTGACGTTGAAAAGCACGTTCTGCCTTGATATACGCTTCTTCCGTGCATGCACATCTTCTCGTATCTGACGGCAAAGGGTGGTTGGTTATATAAATAGAAGTCCATGTGGAAAGCCGGATACTGAGTTCACAGAGGCGTGATCCTCGTATAATCTGGCCAAATCTTCCGCTCCCAAGATCGCCTTTGGAGTGCAAATCACTGCTAAGAAGGTTGAAAGGCGTGAAATAAGGCGAAGCGATGAAGTCTAGAAGGGATAAGAGTTAGCATATTTCGTACTCAGAGGGCATATCTGGGGAGTTGATGCGACTTGGAAGTGCCCGTCTCCATGGAGCCGTCATAGAGCTTCTCCGACAACACGAGCGACGACAGGAATAGATACTCTGCAAGACGGGAAACTGGCCGGGAGCTATCATGTCGAAGTACTTTGGCTTAGGGAAGTGCCACGTTAGTTAATCTATGGCAGATGAAAAGCGCATCGTAGCTGGTTAGTTGGAGGGTTAGTTATGGTGTTGTTCGGTCGCCAGCGAATTCCGCCGTAGGTAAAAGGACGAGACGACGACGACCACCCAACAACCTCCGACTTCACCTCTCAGCTCTCGGGCGGCCCCAGACATAAATAAGTAAGGACAGCAACTGTGGAATATGGGCATCGGTAAGAATGAGAAACATCGCTGCGGCTGCTTTTGCTTCATGTGACTGACTAACTAGTTAGTTGACTGTAAAAATAGAACTGCGTGGCTGGGTCCGCAGATGTCCTCGCTGATGGACGGAGCAGACCTGACGGCTGGCTAGGCTGAGCCCCGTCAACCACCACTCCATCTAACGAGTTACTGGTCCCGGATGGAGCTTAACTGGGCCCGGAAAGGGACGACGGCCTGCTGCTGCTTTTTTTTTTGGGGGGGGAACTGGAACCCGGCCAGCCTCCCTTGTCCGTTTTTGCTGCAGCGTCAAGGGCGTCTGCAGCACCAAGGATGTTAAGGGGTAAAACACCGCGTCAATATCCATCCAAGACCACAGGATAAGTGCTGGAGTGATGAGTCTTCGCTTGCTGCTTGACAATGGAGGGTCCGTCGGACGTTGAAGAGCTGCGGAACCTTTTCAATATAATACGGGAACAGCTGTTAGAAAGATTCCAACCATGGTGGAGTCTGTTTGGGCTTATCACAACAAACACAGCGAAAAGGGAGTTTGATGCTGTTAATAATCCTTGGCTAACCATGGAAGACATTCCAAATCAAAATTCAATAATAGCTGTCTCCTAGGATTCGCCGGGCTGGCGGGGGGTGCTTGGGGGTTAGATCGATTACTTCCCTGGCTAACTAGTTGATGGATGCTTATCAGGGCAGCGATATAGCCTCCCCTTGCACAGGCCAGCGGAGGAGGTTTTGACAGTACCCAGCCTTGAGCAAAACTAAGCATAAGACCCCTTTGAGCCTGGTTGCTCCCGTGCAATACGGGCTTTCCACACTTTGGCTGATCGCCGCCTGCTCCCCAGTGGAGGCGTCGACGTTGCTTTTTCCTGAGTCTCTTTGGTCCAACCTGTCTCTCAAGCAGCGCAGCCCTGCACACCATCTCTCCAACCCGTAAGATTCGCTGAGAAATACGGGCGATGATGATCGAAAACGGGCACTTATGTGATTGCCTACCCATATATCAGGTTGTTTCCCCAGCCGTGAACATAATATGCATGGTGCTGACATGCTGCACTTGTGTGTTTTTGGGGGATGAGGGCTTATCCTTCAACGGCTCCGGTTCTATCACTCCTCGCCCTTGTAGCTGCATGCAGGCACATACATAACACCCCAATCTATATCAATCAGGCAGTCCTTGTCTTGCTTGCCCTTGTCCCATATTCTTGCTGGGGTCCGCAGGTTTTAGTGGCGGCTACTCCTTTTTCCTGCTCTATCGAGAGACGAAAACCACACGGTAAACAATACTCATATAACTAGTTAAAATAACTAGTATGAATACACTCTCGGCTCCCAGGTATGCTCTATCATGACCTCCGAAGCAACTATCACTTAACTAGTTCTGCTCAACAGCAAAATATATATTTCCTTTTAGGGCCCAATTTCCAACAATTATTATTCTTCAACGCCTGTTGGACGCCCGATTATCTATTCCTCAAGGACGGATCTACCCTTTCTACCCAGCTCGACGGATTTGCGCGCCTATTTCTTTGACTGATCCACCATTAATCTAAACGGGTCGCATTCGTTACTGTACTACTCTGCCGTTCATTCTCATCGCAACACATCGCGCAGTTTCTCTATGCGTTTGGGGGGAATTGGTGGTTGTTGAAGGCCGGAAATAACGAAGGTTATGAAAGATATCTAATACTTTGGCTGCAAAGAGGTTAGTTCTTTTTTTTTTTTTTTCGATACCCTATCATGCATTTGCTCCGTCGTCTGCCTCTTGTTTATTTCCCTCTTTTGGAGTTTCGAAGCGGGTCTGTATGCTACGGGACAATGGGGACTATGGCTTTCTCCTCTTCATATATATTATCCCGCTTTCGAAGCCTCAAGATGATTGCGCAAGTGCCTTCTGCAGCTATCCATTGTTTGGGCAGAAGATTGGCCGTTGCCTATGAAATTGATTTATCTCATTTTTTGCTGGATATCCCGTCGAGAAACGAATCATCTGTCGTGGCTTTTTGGAAATCTTCCGCCTATCATGTCCTTTATCCATGCGTTCGGTATAAGCTAGTGATTTCTTGGGGCGTTGAAACAATGAAACCCTGGGAGCTTGGGGTGGGAGCCATTGCATTTAGATCTACCGGATGCCCCGGGGATAGGGGATGACAGCGATGACCTGCAGACGTTTTTTTGTCACTGTTCGATGTGCAGAAAGAGCTGACCTGATGCATGAACTCTAGAGGCGGGAAGACAGCAGCCATGACGATCATCGTGAGGTCAGAAAAGCTCAATAACCTGGTGCCTTCTGCAAAGAAGATGAAGAAACTCCAGGCCAGGCAGTCAGAGAGCAGTATGCATTGGGCTAAGGATATATCTACGAAGCTCGAGACCAAGGTCCAGAGCAAAATTCACGGAAGCAAGGATAAATCCAGTGACATGGCTACTAGAGGCCGTATGACGACGACAAGCGCGAGACCTAGGGTCCCACCCCTGCCTCCTTATTCCCCTCTCGGAGGTTTGCAGGAGCTCTTCAAGGAAGTTGGCGGAGCCTTTGGGTCTGGAAAGGAGCTTGAACGTGAAGAAGAAGGCGACGGAGAACCTGAACTTGTTTCGCCAGTGACCCTTGCATGTAGATCCTGTGCTGCGACTATGGGCGACAGTGTCGACGATAGGCTATGCGATGACAGCAGTATATGCTGCCTGTCCCCTGCAACTGTAACTACCATTGAGACTGGATTTGGCAGCTGTATGCATATCTCACACCGCGCTGCTCACGAATCTCCTTCAAATGCAGCAGCTAACGAATCGGCAATCCTCCCCCTATCCTTCGATAACGATCTCACAAGGAAGCAAACTGTTTATTTCACGCTGGATAACAAAAACCGGGCCTCGTCTGACCCCAAATCACCAACATCTCCAACATGCTGCTCCGCAACTACTTGTTCTTCAATATACCCCTGGTCATCAGTCAGCTGTTCTGGTGAACAAATACCGCGGAATTTACCCCCAAAAATAACTGTGAATGAACCTTTTTCACTTAACTCCGTCGACGCTGTGATCTCCAACGATGAATATCGATCGGGGCACCCCACCCCTGCTGCCAACTTGAAGAGGAGATTGACCATTCGAGAATCGAAAATGAAGGCCCTGCCCCCATATCCGCCCCTGCCGGAGACAGTACTCACTCAGCCCCAGGCACCGGGACAGTCACTCAAACGCTCTAGAAATGCTTCTCATTCCGCCCATTCACCAAAAGCGCTCTGCCTGCCCCAAATACCCCAAGAAAGCGATTTTGATATGCTTGATGAAACCTTCCAGCAATCCAATCGAAGTTCATTATTACCTTCATTAGAAAAAGCAGCCGAAGACCTCGAAGCACAGCTTTTAGCGATACCATCGACTAAAGAATCTCAACCAAACTCACGATCCCGTTCTCCCTCCCCCGCTTATCTGCAGCGAGCTATTACCAACACTGAGAGCGAACAGGAAGCCGTTGCCGCCCCTGAAATCCAAAACGACAACTCTCCAAGGATGGACCTGGCGCGTGGTAGTATCGAACGCCTTCGTGAGAGTATAGCGTCGAAACAAATGGTTCAGCTGACCCGCACGAAAAACCAGAAGGGCGGGCAGTCTGGTTTTAAGGAAAGATGGAGCCGTTTCTCTGCATTCTCAAAGAAAGGAGAGCCAGGAAAATCGAAGTCACAGCTGAATTTACCTTCTCCCAAACTACTTCCAATGCACACAATCAATCCGATAGAAAAGTTAGATTTTGGTTTGAATGTGGTTCTCGACATTCCTTCGGGTTTTGCAGAGCTCGATGCAGACCCATCACCACGAGAAGAGGCAAAACCGACACAGGCTGCACCTCGTCCACTGCGACCGTTGGTCGACAGCGTTATTCTTCGAATATTTGAAAATGTCGGCTACTTTGACGATTTGTTCAATTTAGCGCTCTCAAATAGAGCCTTTTATCAGATTTTCAAACAGAACGAGCTAGCCCTTGTTCGAAATACCTTATCTTTGATGTCCTTGCCAGCATGGGAATTGCGAGAGATGACTCCGCCATGGGATGATGACGGCGTCACTCGCCTTGCCGTCAGTGCGAGGGATGAGCCTATGCCTGAGTATACCCCCCAACTATATCTCCAACATTATTCCAGAGATCTATACGCCATGGCAGCTCTGAAATCCATGATTCTTGTACACTGTGAGAGTTTTCTTCGATTAGAAACATCACGAGCATTGGCAGGCTTGGATGAGCAGCGGTCGGCAGAAATGGACGATGCATTTTGGCGTGTATGGACATTCTGCTCTCTCTTCGGCTGTGGGAAAGGGAGAGAAAGCGATATCGAGGCTCAGGTTGACTGGCTCAGAGGTGGTATACTGGCTGAGTCTGACACCAGGCCGTCTGCATCTATCTTTAGCCCCATGCCGTTCATTAGCAACCTCCTGCTCGACCCACCTCAGGGATTTGCCAAAGGAAATAATGGCGGGTTAAGCACAGAACAACTATGCGACATGTCAGAGATCTGGACTTGCCTTGCTAACCTGCTCAGTGTTTTCCATGGCAAATGTAAATTGGCACGCAAATATGGTGTCTTTGACAATAAGGATGTAACTCCAGGAGACGTTACACATGAGGAGGCCTTGCTTGGTAAGTTTTTCAACCCTTTCCTACCATTTACATGGACAGAGAACTAATAAGCCTGATAGAAGAGTGGACTCAATATCTCCTCACGTTAGGCCCTTATGCCGTCCTTACTCTCATCAGTTTTGCTCCTTCTACCCCAGTTGAACAGAAGTTCGCTCGTGCCAAATCGCTAGGGTGGACTCGTTGGCAAGCCCCTGTGAAATCGGAAAATGAGCCGGCTAGGCTGTTCTTCAAAGAAGCTGTCTCACGAGTTTGCCGAGATCTCCCTTCACGACCAAGCTCCCTTTCCTCTTCTAACCCATCATCGTACTCCTCCAGAGCATCTCCCCAAAGCTCAAGGTCAAAACGAAGTAGTCAATCGAGCATTACGAGCCAGAACAGCGCTCGTCGTCAAAGACAGGCTGGCTTCGCGGCTGAACTTCGCAACAGAAAAGTATCTCTCGACACAGGGCTGGGTATTGCTAATGCCATTCCCAATTGTGACGAGCGACCAACTCCAGTCTCTGAGGTGGTCGTTAACAAATTCATTTCCTCCGAATCAGGGACACCATTTCTCCATCCCACTCCTCGAATGCTGGCATTCAGTCCAAGAAACCAATCTCCATCATCCTCAATCGTATCATCACCGCGACCAACACCGCCACTAGTAGAGGAGAAAATCTCCCAAGGCCGCCAACCAATGCCATCTACCAGCCGTCTTGCACTATATTACTCAAATCATCAGGAGCCAGTGGTCCCAGACCCAGCTGACCTGGCTCTGCAAAAGATGGTGCATGAACTAGGATTTGACGAAGAAGAAGCCAAATGGGCTCTGAAACGAACTGATACTGGTGAATCAGTCGATATCAATGCTGCTGTACACCTCTTACTTGTCAAATCCAGCAAGGCGAACTCTTCATCTGTGGAAATGGGCCTAAGACAGCGCGAATCTAATATTCCGCAGACAAAGGCAGATGAGGTCTACAGGCCTACCTGGAGATGGGCGTAATAACTGTTTTCATATACCCACATTGCATATATACATGCAGTTAGTTATTATTTCCTGGTTAAAAACTAACATACTACATGGAGTGACTTTCGTACTCCACTGTCTCTCCTTACACCAGCGAGGAGTTAACGTGTTTTTCTTTGTTCTTTCTGCGTCTTTGCTTTTAATACTGGTTTGAATGTAGTTATATACCCTTTCTTATGTTTCGTCTTTCGTTTATTTTTCCTCCTGGGAATAAGGGTGATGCGTGTATAGCTATATTAGCTAAACTCCTTACAATGTATAAATGATGGAATGTGTCTCCTATGTGTGTGAACCTTACTTATCTTTGGATACCTACTTATAATTAGGCAATTAAATACATCCCACAATACTGAAAAAGAACTATTATTTCATATTAATTTTCTTCACACAAAGTGATCATAAGCAGTTAGGTTAAATAAGTAGTAGATAAGGAACTAGACAATTAGACAATTCTTAATATCTGAAGCTCATCCTTACCAAGCAAGCGAAGATGCCAGCCCATCAAGTTCCCTCTCGTAATTCCTGTGACGAGAGATATGGTAGAAGAATTTACCCAAGAAATCATTGGCCTCCTTGAATATCTTGATTCCCTCCGTCAAGCTCTCTGGTTCATGCAACTTACAGCTGGTAACCACACCATAGCTCTCCACGACCCCGGCGGAAGAAGAATCCGCGAATTCGAGCTGCGGCACGTCTGTGCCTAACACCTGAGCAACTAGATTGACTGCATCACCAGTGGCGCCTATGGCTTTCAAATGACCAAATGATTCAGCAATCCAGTATCTGATCTGGCCTATCTTGCTCAGGATGCGAATATGTTCACCGCCAGGAATGAAGGTGGCATCAAACAATGTCGAGCGCGCACCATCGTATTGATGATCAGGTACGATGCCCTTATCTGTTTCTTTATGTTGGTGTGCAGCGAAGATAGGCTGGCGTTTAGTTCCAATGACGAAGGGTAAGGCTCCAGCAGCCTTGATTGCTGTTTTGGCCGAAATAAATGCTACCGGGTCGTAGCCGTCTCCGATCAAAATGGCGACACGGCGAGATTTGATGGTTGGCGTACCACTGCCAATCTGAGGATGGGTCTCGTTAATCTCTGCCTGGCTTAGATTGATCGTTTTCAGGCCCGGGTTAGGACGGGGAGAAGATTGAGGAGTTTCTGCCCCGACAAGAGGTGCCACAGCCTGTGCAAGCGGGAGGTCGATTTCAGCCAGACGTTTGACCACGCGGGTATAAACGGTTGGGTCGTCGCAGTGATCCAGTTCGAAGGCAAGGGTATTCTGAACATGTTTCTTCTCGTATGGAGTTAGAGAGTTGTAGAAAAGCTGAGCTTGGTTGATGTGTTCGCGGAACTTCTTGCTGAGAGTTCGCTGCTTGATACTCATTATCTTTTCAGGGAAAGAGTGGAATCCTTCCCCAACCTTGGCTGGAGGGCATGCTTCAAATCTATTTGGCCAGTAGTTGACGGTGCCCTGGGTGATCTTGTGGCGCATCTGTCCGTCTCGGTTGTGGTTCATGACCGGGCAGACAGGACGGTTAATAGGCAGCTCCTCCCAGTTCGTTCCCAGACGGGAGAGTTGGGTGTCAAAGTAAGAGAAGTTTCTGCCCTGTAAGAGAGGATCGTTTGAGAAATCGATGCCCGGGACAACATGGCCGGTGCAGAAGGCGACTTGCTCTGTCTGAGGGAAGAACTCGTCGATGTTTCGGTTCAGTTCCATCTCACCGATATATCTAACCGGGACTAAGTCTTCAGGCCAGATCTTGGTTGCATCAAGGATGTCAAAATCAAAATCATGTTCTTTATCATCAGGGATGACTTGAATACCAAGCTTCCACTTGGGGTAGGCTTTGTTATCAATAGCTTCCATCAGATCCTTTCTGTGGAAGTCAGGATCCTGACCACCGATTTTGAGAGCTTCATCCCAGACAAGAGAGTGAACACCAAGCTCTGGAGTCCAATGGAACTTGACAAAATGGCGTTTTCCTTCTTTGTTGATGAGAACAAAGGTGTTGACTCCGAATCCTTGCATCATACGGTATGAACGTGGAATACCTCTATCAGACATGGCCCACATGAACATGTGAGTAGCCTCGGGGTGGAGGTAGACAAAGTCCCAGAAGTTGTTATGGGCAGTTTGGCCTTGAGGGACCTCATTATGAGGTTGCGGTTTAACGGCGTGCACTAGGCAAGATCTTAGTATATGTATACTAGGTAAATGGAGAAAGGAGTGCATACCAAAGTCCGGAAACTTGATGGCGTCCTGGATGAAGAAGACAGGAATATTGTTTCCCACGAGATCCCAATTTCCTTCATCAGTGTAGAACTTGACTGCAAATCCACGGACATCTCTGACGGTATCTGCACTTCCTCTACTTCCCTGGACGGTAGAAAATCGAGCGAAGACAGGTGTAGTACGAGACGTGTCAGTCAAGACTCCGGCCGAAGTGACATCTGCAGCACTCTCAAAGAGCTTGAAATGCCCAAATGCACCGGTTCCACGAGCATGCACAACTCGTTCGGGAATCCTTTCGTGATCAAAGCGGTGGATCTATACAACTAGATGTCAGTCTATGGAACCAAGGATCAACAAAGCTAGGAGAGTAAACATACCTTTTCTCGGGCAATCTGATCCTCGAGCATAGAAGGCCCCGAGTTTGAGCTATCGGATGCCTTTAGCCATTCATCTGTATTCTCGACCTTTGTTCCATGGTCCGTGGTGATTGAGCCGGCAGTGTGGATGTCCGTGGTATCCTTTGCAAGGTCCGCTAGCTTCTTATCATGAGGATACAGGCCCTGGAGGGTCTCCTGCACCTTTCGAATTCCTTCTCCAACGCCCGACATCTTGTCTACAAAGAGCTACTGGTAGAGCAGTGTCGTATTCAAAGATGGTATATGTCAAATGCTGCAAGTGACACAGTCAAATAGTTGGGAGCAGCCAGCTCCGTGGCAACAGGCAGCTTTTAAGAAGAAGCAGACAGGCCATTGCTGGCTAATCCGCTTGATCTGACTGGCCATCCGGCCATTCATCGAGACCATTAACTTGGACGTGAACCTGGGGGGAGACTGCGGGCGCTGGTACAGGGTATGACGTTGGTGCACCCACACTCAGCGAATGAAGTGCAGCATAGCAAACAGGATAAAGGTGGTAAGCAATATTAATCATAACAGGGAATAGAGAGTAAACCTATGACGATGAGCGGATATCGAGAATGGTTTCGCCTGCAGCTGTCGGCATCCTTGAGGATTGTGACCACTTCTGGTGTTGTTGTAGGGTTGTTGTATGGCCTGAGGCTGCATCAACACCCAAAGTTTGCTTGGATCTTGCACATAACACCGTGCTAATAGACACGTCTGGCCACGACACGGTTTTTATCGCAACAAATAGATATTAACACGGATAGGATCCCCGAAAGCATGTTTAAAATAATATAGCTTGTGTGTGTGTGGTGAAAGAAAAGAAAAAAAAAAAAAAGATAAGGCCGACGTCGGACGGATTCGAACCGTCGCCCCCGAAGGGAATTGATTATCTGCTTCAGAGAAGTTCTAGTCAATCGCATTAGACCACTCTGCCACAACGCCTTATTGGTGCTAGTTGGAGGTCGGCTGGTTGGTGATAACACGGAAGAGCAGTAGAGAAACATTAAACGGGTTTCGCTTTCCTAGAGGAACGGGTTTGAAGTGCTTCGTAAGGGAGCACCCTTGAGGCGCTTCATCCTAAAAAAGATGGAGCGTGATATATATGTAGGCAAAGATCCGATATTAATGGTCATCAAGTATAGCTTGTCTGTCTTATTGACAGGGTAGAAAAATATAATGGTCTCATTAGTCTAAAAATACTTTTAAAGACGTTTAAAGGATAGATGTAGGTGTAGATGCTAGATAGATTGGTATCATTTTTATCATGTGTCTAGGAGCCTAAGGGGAGTGAGATAGATCATGAGAGGGTGCCAGGAGTGGGCACTTTGGGAGTGGTGGCAGCCGATGGGACGGGGCCCTGTCTGCTAAGAATCCACATGAAGACGAACTGGATCATGTACGAGTAGATGAAGAGGAATTGGGTGCGCCTGTTGCGCTGGGAGCGGGCAACGGTCGGCATGGCTCCGCCTCGCATGGCTGCGTCGGATGAGCTGTCCGGTAGAAGGACGTACTTGAGTGAACGTAGCTGTACACGCAAAATCACTGTTAGCATGGCCATCCTTTGCTTGACTGGTTTTTCAAAATGCTCTAGTACTGACCAAGAAAAAGGCGTTAGCGAGGAAGGTATAGATGAACACAGTCCAACCAACCCAGCCTCCCGTGCCTTGGCCCGGCGTAAGAATCTCGGACACCCCCAAGGTAAGAATGATACCAACGAACTTGTATCCTGAGTAAGCCACCAGGTCAAGAAGCTGGGAGTCATTGTTGATATTGAGAATGTACATGGCAACCTTGAGGCAGACAATCTCAAAAACCACCACAGCCAGAGCAATGAACGTTATGGAGCGCAGTATCTCTGGATGGAAATTCCCTCGTAGGCCTGCCATGACCGCTGAGAGTAGGATGTAGGTGACTAGAGCCATGGCGGGAATGTACATATCTGGTGAATTGACGTCGTCTCGTGGCGGGAGGTACATGGAAGTGTACTGGGCCTGGCTTATCTGGCCGTTTGCGGAGGCTGCGCCAGCCATCCGTCCCTGCTGGCGGGACCATGGCTTATGTCTCCAGGGAAATAGGACGAGAGCAAGCTTCTTAATGACGTATGAATTGGAGACATTAAAGTAGTGCTTTAACGCGGGAATCGACACATAACGGTTCAACTATATAATATCTGTCAGTATCTCTATCTCGTGCCGCAGCAGAAAATACGAAGAAATATAATCAAGCAGGAAACAGAACAATGGACATACGTTTTGCTCCATATACTCCTGTCCGGCCATGACGGCACTTTTTCCAACCTGAAACCCCATTTGGGCCGTGGGATCTGACATGAAGCCTCCAAAGCCAGGGCCAAACTGGCCTCCTCCCTGGGCCGGATTTGGCTGATAAGGATTGTTATATCCATGCTGCTGGTGTTGGGGCTGCGGCTGTTGGGAGACTGGCGGCGGCGGCGACCGCATCATCGGTACTGTAGAGACATGTTGCGGGATAGGATGATGGAGGGGAGGCGACTGGGCCGGAGGAGGTGCAAATGTGTTGCGCTGCATTGTGTGTGCGTGGTCTCTAATTAGGGAGACTCGAACGGAGCTCGTCGGTTCCCTGATTTTATTTCCGGTGATCTCTAAAAGCAGAACGGGCGTAATGGAAGCTAGTAAGATGGCATGACAGCTTTGTATGCCTTGTATCCCTCGGGACAGCCTCTGGATGGCGATGGTGTTGTGTTGATCTGTTGCTGGTCCGGCTGGATGGTTGTCTTCATCACACTCTTATCTCCTGGCTTTTGCCTTGTTATCTGTCGCGTTTTGGCTCATCAGCCACGGGTGTCCTCCCCCTTCCATCAGAAAGTCCTTGATGGTCTAATGGTTATGATTTCCGCTTGTCAACTTCGCCTGTTAAGCGAGTAACAAGCGCGGGAGACCGGGGTTCGATTCCCCGTCAGGGAGTTCTTTTCTTTTTTTTGTCTTTTATGCCTCCCTGTTGTACTTCCAATATTACTCCATTGCAATGTGTATATTGCTTGTATGTGGTTTTTTTACATCTGCCATATTGTTGTCACTCTGCACACATTCACTGTAGCGGTAATGCAGTCTGCGAGTATTAAGGTAATCTCCACCACTCAGTTGACTCATGTACGCTGCTATGGATTTTGACACAGAGAGTTATAAATACCATACTGCCTCGACTTTTCTGCCCCAAAGTAACTTCATATTTTCAGAATTGTCCAAAACATAGTTACAGGCTCTTAATACCATATCCCTTTCTCCTCGTTCCCTACCTAATACGGAGTATGAGTATTAGTCAGCCGAAATAGTTGAAATGGATTGGATTTATTACTATCACGTGATTTACTTGGAGCGTAAACCAATAAAACCTCTGAAAAAATGAGTACATAATCAAACTCTATCGTATTACTACTAAAGTCAATCTAACATTATTTTGGCTCAAAGTCCAAATAAATCCTTGTCACGTGGAAATGCTGTTGATAGGCTGAAAGTTGTTATCAAAAAATTATCGAATCTATACAGAGCAGACGAAGGCCAGATAACTGCTCAGGACCAAACCCTGTTCGCTGTGGGAGAATAAGAGACAGGATGCTGGACGCTTTTGAGGTTATAACTACGTCCGGCGTAGTCCTATGGTCAAAAACATACGCTCCAGTTGGAACTCACATTATCAATGCTCTAATCAAAGATGTCTTTATCGAAGAGAGGACTGGGATCGACCGCGCTGCTCGAAAGTATAACAAGGAGCAATATACCTTGAGATGGACGGAGGCAAAGGGATTCGGACTTATCTTCGTTGTGAGTGTCAACTTCAGGACTTATTAGCAACCAGCGTCAGCTAATTCTCTTGTACAGGCAGTTTACCAGTCTCTTCTCCATCTGACCTGGATCGACGAATTACTAGAAAATATAAAGACTATATTCTTGGGCCTATACAAGGAACAGCTCAAAGGGTCACGTTTCAGGGTCGCCAACTACCCGTTTGACAAATACTTCGAGCAACAGCTAAGGGAACTTGACCAGACCACGGAGCTTCCGGCCGAAGATAAACGTCAGCTTGGGGCAGAGAGCAAAAGAGACGTGCTTACACAGGCGGATACAGGAGGGCCACCACCACCGCCTGTCCCGGGGCTTCTTGCGGGTAAGATCGGACTCCACGCCATACTCTATATGATATCTCCTAACCTCTTTTTATAGTGCAGCGTCAAGCTGCGCCAGCGACGGAGGTGCTCAGTGACAGCACTCCGTTTCAAACCCCAGAAACATCCCGACCCGTCACTCCAAGCTCCCAGGTCATCACTGCAAAAGCTGGGCCAGGAGGCCGCATTTCTCGTCGTGCTCGTAAAGCCGCGAACGCCAATTCCAACAATACTTCTGGCGCTGAGGATAAGGCAAAGAAGTCAACTAATGGCAAATCTGGAGCAAAGAAGATGAGAAAGTGGGGACCAGATGGCATCGCGGACGAGGAAGGCGATGAAATACTGGATTATTCTGCAAATGATACTGGCGCTGGTACCATGGAAGACTTACCAGCGCCCTCAGTTGATGCCATTGACAGCGAGTCCTTTGGAACAAAGACCCAAAAGGGCCAATTTGTTCTTAAGGATCTCGGTGATGAAATCCATTCCATTCTTCAGAATGCAGACGAGGAGAAGGCCAAAGCCAATGGATCCTCTGCTGGTGTCGTCAACTCTAGCATAGGCGCGATCAGCAGCTTGTTCCGCAACGTGGTTGGTGGGAAAGTGTTGACCGAAGCTGATCTGGTGAAACCCCTGAAGGCAATGGAAGATCACCTGCTGAAGAAAAATGTCGCCCGTGAAGCTGCAGTTCGCCTTTGTGAGGGTGTCCAAAAGGAGCTGGTAGGTAAGAAGACGGCCAGTTTCCAGAGCATAGACTCTGCTCTTCGCGCGGGAATGGAATCATCACTCCGCAAAATACTTACTCCCACTACTTCACTTGATTTACTCCGTGAAATTGAGGTAGTCACCTCACCCACGAATCAGCAACAGCCCAGACGACCCTACGTGATCTCAGTTGTGGGAGTCAACGGTGTCGGAAAATCCACAAACCTGAGCAAACTATGCTTCTTCCTTCTACAGAATAAATATAAAGTCCTAATTGCAGCCTGCGACACTTTCCGTTCTGGTGCAGTCGAACAGCTTCGTGTTCACGCGCGGAATCTTAAGGAACTCAGTGCAAGAG